GGGGTCTGAAAACTCGCTAAATATAGCGACAAAGTCGCTAAGTTGGCAACACTGGGTGGCACATTTTACTAACATTTAAAACATGAAATTAACTAAGCAGTAACATAACAATACGATTAATCAAATCAAAACACAGAAGTCTATTTGCACGTTTCCTCATTCCCACATTTATCTGAAACACTGAATGAACTCTGCTCAGCCAAATACGAGCCTGCCCACACGGTGAGATTATGTAATCCACGCTGGTGGAATGGGTCTAGTTTATTGGTCTCTGTTCACAAAGACTCTGCAGATCAATAACTGAAAGAAGGATCCAGAGTGAAGCAGACGTGCATGAAATGTATTTGTTTGCGACTGAAAGCATTTACAGCACAAATACTAACACGCCTTCGTGTGTCGGACGGATCGTTCTCTGGTGCTGTCGTGTGTGGCGAGCCTTCGTTTTGCACCTGAAGCATCACCAGGCAGAGCTCTGCATGGGTGGGCTGCTGCAGCCAGTGTGAGGCAGACTTTCTGTGGGCTGAGTGCTGCTTTCTCCACTTCATAGTCACACAGCCTGAAACGTGCACTGTAAACAACAACAGACCTGCTGAGACGTGTGAAATGTATTCTCATAAAAAGCTTCTTGGCCTTTACGTCATGTAGACTGTGCTTAATTGAAATTATGGCGTCACGCGATGAATGCACGCCTGGTCTTCAGGTCTTCCCCTCAGTCTCAGTTCCAGTAAATCTGCTGTAGATGACGAGGAACTCGTGTCACCTTCTTCTCCTTCAGAGGCAGTTAGAGGCCCACCAAGATGAGGGCATGGTGGTGTCACACATGGTGGTGGCCGGCGTGGGCATATGGATCGCCTTCAGCTCTGGTTCCACGCTGCGCCTCTTCCACACCGAAACCCTAGAGCACCTGCAGGACATCAACATCGCCACACCTGTCCACAGTATACTTCCAGGTAAGACGTAATCTTCACTGTGAGACTGGCAAAGCATTTCAAACCCCCACAGACTATTAAATATTGCAGTGGAAGGTTTGAAATTCAACTTCTTTCATGCATATTTTTAGATATCTTGCATGATTTTGCATAACTTGTTCTCGTATTCCCCCGACTTGAGCACGGATTAGCTTTAAACTGATTTTTAAATAATAATTTAAGTCTTACATAAAGTTAATAACTTTAACTTTTCAAGTCTATTTGGCGTTTTATTGGTGACCACCAATAAAATCTAGCTGGGACCTTCCTCTTGCATCTGTCACTATCCAATGAAAACCCAAACAGCACATGTTGCATGCAGATAATGTGCAACACTGCTGCTTAAACTGCTGCTCTGCGTCTTTTCTGTGCTTTCTTCTACGCAGTGACCAGTGAATGTTAGATTTTGTACTATATTCAGACTTTAAGAAGCCCCGCCTTTACCACAGTGAGAACTGCTCCCCGTCTGTTCAGCATCAGTCGGTAATCTGTTTGCCTCACGGAGACTGCAGCGCTCTCAAACTGCCTGACAAAATCTGCTGATTTCTAATCTTGTGACCCTCCCATCAGATATATTTGCTCCAGCCCAGCAGCCGCGGCCTGTGATACACGCCCCGTCACCTCGCATCACCACGCTCGGTGTCTTCCACTTATTAGCAAACATCGCTGCAGGCAGCTTCTGTTTGTCACACTCTTTTCCTTTTTCCAAAAGCTCCTTAGTCTAAACAAGGAAACAGAAACCTCTCAGTTTGTCTGCTCATGGCGCCGCATTAAAACACTTTGGACTTTGTCAAGTTGATTTTAAGGCAGCTTTGTGTGTTAAAAGGAAATCCAGGCCATATCTAAACGCTTTAAAAACAAATAAAGGATCGTCCTTTTAATAACTCACACGATCGTGACGTCACATTTACATACAGCACATGGTCTGTCTGTGGCTGAGCTACTGCTCGAGCCACAACTCAAACTTACAGCTAAATCCTGAGTAATCAGAATACTTTAACAGCCTTTAACAGCCAGCTGCTTTGACAGAAACATGATGGAGTGAGTAAATCTTTGCACTTTAGATTAAATGCAACTATGAGGGAGTGTCATGAAGAGTGGGTACAGTTATTGTGTGGAGACTGCAGACTGAACCACTCCTTCACATGCTGTCAATCTGCAGCTTTATCAATGTGATCACCATAAAACATAAAAAATGAAACCCTAGGTAGGTCCACAATATCTTAAGACCATAAAAATACCAAAAGAAAACTTTATACACACACAGGTTTGTGAATGCAGACACATGCAGCGTGTACAGAGAACAGAAAGCGCCCTCGGCACGCTGAGATCTAATCCTGGGTGCAGTTCAAAGACCTGCAGCTGCTGACCTGAGCGGTCTCTAAATGAGCCATTCTTCATGCACAGTTGAAAGCAGAGTTTTTATAGCAGAGCAAATATTTGTTTAGCAAATTTTATCAAAGAAAACAGGAGTTAGTTATTGTGTGTGTGTCACAGAAACGAATGAGTTTGCATCACTCCCAACACACCTTTGAGTGAGTCTACTGTACGTGTCCTGTAGCAAGGAAGCTTTGTGACTGACGAAGGCTGTCCTTACCTTCGGTGAGGTTCTGCTGCAGATGTGTTTGAGGCAGACGTTGCTGCTGCTGATGTCGAGGTCAGATCATCTCTGTGCCGCAGTCATCAGAGTGACCTGCTGCTTCAACTCTTGTAATCTGCTGCGTTATGTCAGCGTGACCCAGAAACACAGCCTCAAAGGATGATGGGAGCTGTTGTTGTGGGCTGTGAAGTCGGGATTTATCCGGTCCAATCAGAACAGTTTTCAGCCACGTTTTCCCTCCTTTGTCCTGAGTAACACCGACAGCCGTGGGCTGAAAGTTTTTTCGAGATGTTGACAGTCAGGCTTCCTTTTAGACCTGCATGTTCCACCTTTTCTGCTGTTTTTGTGAATCCACCTGTGTGCGTTTACTCCTCAGCTTCAGCGTTGGTGGTGCTACTGAGCCCGTGTGCGTTTAGTCCTGGGACCTGATTTTTCCATCATGGCTAAAATGTTGTGATATTTCTCTGAACCTTGGAGATTTTCTCCCCGTGTTCACGTGGGTCCTCCAGCTTCCTCCCACAGTCCAAACACGTGCAGTTAGTGGAGTTAGGCTAACTGGAAACACTAAATTGCCCACAGGTGTGAATGCAGGAGTGGATGTGAGTGCGACTGGTTGTCTCTGGTCTGTGTGTTAGCCCTGCAACAGACTGGCGACCTGTCCAGGGTGGACCCCGCCTCTCACGCTAAGACAGCTGGGATAGGCTCCAGCGACCCTGAAAAGGATGGATGGCATCCAACCTCTTCTTCCAGTCACGGCGTGTTTCGTGATTAGCAGGTTATCGTGCTATGTTGTAGCCAAAGTGAGCACCTGAACACACACAGCAGGAGGCAGGTGCACATACAAGGATGAACTTTTATTTCTGAAATGCCCAAAAGAACGAACTCGTTGAACAAACTGCAGAAATGCAATAAAAAAGAACAAATCGTGACACAAACACAGAGAAAAATACACAAATGACACAACAAGCCAATCAAAGGAGTAAAAACTGAGATGGAGAAAGTCGGTGAGTGACTGCTGTGACACATACAGCTGTGACACCGTCCACAGTTCCTCTGTGCTGCGCTGCGTAACTGCATTTCTGCTCCATCATACTTCAGACAGAAATCAAAACACTGAAAACACTGAACTTACACACCAAAGTGTACTCAAGGAAATCCCTAATCACGAGTAAAATTGTCAGAGTGAGCCCCCCCCTCACTATGCTCATTATCTAACAGATGTAAATAATAACAGCAGCCTGCTTCTGGACCTCAGTGTCCATATTAGCTAATGGAAGCCATGAAACCACAGAGGAAGCTGGTTGTGGGACAGACGGCAGCACATAAACGCTTTCATCCTCCGGGCCTCGCCATTAAGAGCCGACTTCCTCTGATAACAAGTCTCTGGCCTGTCAGCGAGCATTCAAATCGAGCTCTGCCGGCTTGTGTGGTCGCGATGTCACACGGAGGAGTTCACCTGTACTCCACTCTGTCCTCCAGCAGCAGCCTGCAGGGATAAATGCTGCCACGAAACACAGAGTGAAACCAAGAAATGTGCCGTTTCTGCACAAACGGTCAGCACGACGGTTTGGACAGATGGAACTGCCCCGTCGATATTTTTAGACCGAGCGCTCGTTCAGCTGCAATTCTGTCCATCCGGTAATGTTTATTTACTGAGTCGCCATAATGATATCAGCTTATCAGAAAGCAGGAAGTTCTAATGCAATTTGGGCTTTTCTGCAGAACGCAGGAGTGGAGATGGAATCGGGGCGTTGTCTCCGGGTTGGCCGACTCGATCAAAGGAGCAGTGTTGAAAGTAGGACTTGCTCTAGGTGGGGTTATTCTCATGTCCAAGCATGTTGGAGCAATTCTGCTGAGTCCCATCTTTGAACGGGAGCTCCTTACGCACGTCTGGCTAATGCGCTGTAATTGCATCATCATTTTCCCTGTAACGTATACTGTAGCTCGTTTCTGAAAGAGATTTAAGGTAAGTAGTGGTAGTTTCCACACTGGGAAGCTGCTCCCTTCTGTTAGATTCAGATTTCAATGAG